CATATCTGGTATGTCATCTAGAGCGGTGCTGGAGACTGTGGTAACTGTTGAATACAATTCCAGATAATGCTCAACCCACCATTTTAGCTGTGCTGCCCGGTCTTGGATAATTTCTCCATTTTTGGACTTTAGAGGAGCAATTTTGGACGTTTTCGTACATTGCTTTTGCATCGCCCATATCTGCAGCTGACTGTATGCTGGAACAGAGGTTAAGCCAGTAGGTATTGGCACAATTACGTGCAACCTTTTGAGCAAGTGATTTGGCTGTTTTTAAGGCATGCAACCTGTCGGGTGTAGGCTTTTCCTTGTAAGCCGTAAGAGCTTTCCTTTTGGCTTCAGTGACAGGTTTCATCTCGTCCCAATGTTCATCAAACCAGTCCGTGTTTTTGTGAGATTTTTTGCCAAAGGCCTGTATTGCGGATGTATAGATTGTGTCTCTGAGATGCGTCCATTTCGAGTCAATGGTGACGCATGGGGACATCCTTGAGATACCTTCCTTCACCTTGTCTGTGAACAGCTGCGTTAGCGCAGGGTCTTTCATGCTGAAGGTATTGATACGTGGACGTCCCTCTTTCTTGGAGTGGTACGAGTTTTTCCTCATTATTCGTACCTTGCTGGCGACAAGGGAGTGATCCGTGTCACAGTCGGCACTGTGATAGCTGCGAGTGAGTAGGATGCTAGCTAGTTGTGCACGCCTGGTGATGATGAGGTCCAGCTGGTGCCATTGGCGGGATTGAGGGTGTCTCCAAGATACTTGATGTATATCCTTGCACTTGAAGTAAGTGTTGGTCACACACAAGCCTCGTGAGCAGCACAATTCCAGAAGCCTCTGTCCATTTTCATTAATCTTTCCTCTTCCAAAGAGTCCAAGGCATGTGGGCCAGGCTTCGTGGTCGCTCCCCACTCTAGCATTGAAATCTCCCAGGAGGTAGATTGCTTCGTATATGCCCCAACAGAGAGTTGGGGCATATACACTAAGAATGGTTGCTGGGCCCGCAGCTGTTCTGAGTCTTAGAGTGAGGATCCTCTCCGTGCCTGATGAAGGGGGATCAATGAATGGTGTAAGAGTGTTCTTAACAGCGAAACCTACACCATGCTGTCTAGGTTCGTTTGTTGGTCTGCCTTGCCAGAAGAAAGTGTAATTTGCCTTTGTTCTTAACAGCGAAACCTACACCATGCTGTCTAGGTTCGTTTGTTGGTCTGCCTTGCCAGAAGAAAGTGTAATTTGCCTCTTTGAGTGAACCGTTGTCTGGGAGCCTGGTCTCCTGAAGGCAAGCGATGTCAATCTTTAGCCTTTTAAGTTCTCTATCGATTATTCCTGTCTTCCGTGTGTCGTTTATTGACTTCCAGTGAGACATTGGTAGTCTCTCCCACTGTCGGAAGCAACCCCTCGCGCCTAGCTCTACCTCAATTGAGCGTTTGGCTTATAACCGGTAACTGTTTTGTCGACACCTTGCGGCAACGCTGGAGTGTCCTCTCCAGAGGTGATGCAAGCCTGGGCGGGTATTATGGAGAATTAGCTGCTGCCCATACAGCATATCCATCCTCTCCACGTCAATGGTGTAACCAAGGGAACGACTTGCGTCGATGCGGCTTGGCTGCCGTTGGCGTCGCAGGAGCTGCCGGTATGTACATAGGAGTCTTATGTATAGACCGCCTGAAGGTGCTCCATTTCCTGATTTTCTGTCGGGGTTTTACTCCCTTAGCCTTTCCCGAAGGGTATAGCCGCAAGGCAGCGGAGGATTTTTGAAGTCGGAGTTTCCTTCTCCTAGCCGTACGGGTGCCAGCACCAGGATTCGAACCCGTGACTGATTGAGATTTATTTTGAAGTCTTGGTACCGCAGCGCAGCGCACTATCACTTTGACCACCGCGCCCCCCAGAGAGAGAATTCAGCTATTTCTTTTTTTCCCTTCAAATCTGTGGTCACCCACTGTAACAACTTATTTTGCAATGCGACACAGGCAAAGTTTGAGAGCACGATTGCTCGTCTGGAGCAAGACAACAAGGACTTACAACAAAGGCACAGACATGACCTGGATGTTGCCAACAGGAGGCTGGAAACTGCCTGCTCTGAGGCCAGGGAGTTGAGGATACAGAACCGAGGACTGGAAGAGGTAGATATTTTAAGGGAAACCTTTGGACAAATAATTGGTAACTTAGCAAAGGGTAAGGGAAAACTTGAAAGAACATGAAACGAAACTCCAACCCTTTGTTTTATGTGTCCTACTTCTCAACCTGACCACAGTCCTTCCCCTTATTATACTTTAGTGTTGATTGCATGAAAATAAAATTTAGACTTAAGCATTTAGATAATATGAATAAAATATCATTTGGTCATTTGTCAAGTTTATGTCTATAAGTTTTAATATTCTCTCTGTGTGTTTATCAAAGCAGAACTTAAAGAGTCAGTGTGGTAGTTAAAGTGTCAATGCTTTGTTTACTTGTTTTAAATTATTTAAGTATTCCATGTAATATTTCTTCCAACCCCCAGTTCCTGATACCCTCGCTGTGAAGCCCTTGCAACCAGTGAAATATCCTCTTCAATACCAAACGCAAAAACATTGCGAATCCCCTCTACATACATAGGAGCCAGAATGATCAATGATCACGGGCCCTTAATATATAGAAGAAGAAAAGCTAACCTCAATATCCCCCTTTGCCAAATGTAATAATAAAATAGTAATAAAATTCTGGTTGACCAATTGGGTTTTAGCATTACATTAACAACTGATTTCAAACGGGGGGGGGGGGTTTACGACATTTATATGTAAGGAGGTGATTGTTATGTGGAGGCTCAACATAAACGTGGTGACGTACATTTTATTGCTGGACTCTGCACCCTGTTTAATTTACAAAGGGAGCAGTACAGGGACATTAGCTTTATTCTTATGACTTCCATTGTTTGTCAAGGAGGTCACTCAGCTCAGAGCCGATGTGTCTAGACTCAAGTCCAC